AAAGAACCAACTGTTCCAAATCTTCCTCTTTAACCTGCCCTCTCAGGACAGACTCATCGTCATGCAGAGTGCTGGTATCACACATAGGCACCAACTGAATCTTTGACTGGAGTGTAAACATTACACACACTGCAGTGCTGGCCTTTCTGCTGTACAATTCTGGTGCTGGTTCTCTGTTCAGACACAGGGGAATGGAGTTAATATGTAACCACAGCAGTTTATTTAGTGTGTCCTTTGAAAGGGTCGTGTTTGGGAATTTCCTTTTCTTAGGCGTGTTTAAAATATACAGTGATCTTCATAGTCAGTTTAAGGGGGGGAACGTATGTCTAATCTTCAAATTCTCTTCTTTAGCTAATACCTTAATTCTTTTATTCTTTATATATTAGCTACCCTATTTTTAGAAGACTAATAAAATATTGCAGTAGTAATGTTCCTAGAATTATTTTTGTCTGAAAAGATGCTAAAGTAGCTGAACTTGCATGGGGACAACTGACAACTCAGTGAAATGGAGGTATCTCTGGGGCAGCAAGTGGTAGCTGCTTTTCTGCTCACCCACTCTGAAGTGAATTGTTTTGAGAGGAGATGATCTGGGGAGAAGGTCCCATTTCCATTTGGAAATAGGAAGAGGAGAAAAATGAGTCAGACTTGACCAAAGTCAAGTGACTGATGAGAACATCAGTCCTGTCATGAAAAGTTCTTCCTGGGCTGAGATGTAGTGCCTGTTTCTTTCCTCTGGCTATGTTCCCCAGGACCTGAGCTTGGATTTAGATAGCTGACTTTGACGTGTTTAAGTTATTGCAGACAAGGCTACCCTTTGGGCTAGAATATGCCAGGATCTTTGTGTAGGTCTTGTCTCTCTTTTTCCGTTGTAGTCCAGAGATTGGCACTCCAGATGATGATTTACTCACCATTGCAAATTTTCCTCTGAGAAAATCCTCCTCTTGGCTCGAAAGGTATTTTGGGGGAGTCTCTTCTGGCCAGGCTGATGGTCTCCTTGTGAAYCCTGTCCCCCAGAGTTCGCGGACAGTATATTTGCCATGGTTTACATCTCCACTGGCACCACAGGAGATAATTAGTGAGTGGCTAGATCATATGGGCTGAGGGTCAGAAAATACAATGAGGCAGATTTTCCCCTGGAGTAAAGAAATGTCAACAGAGTTGCACTGCAGTGAAGTGATGGGAGCTGTCAGTGACCCTGGCCCTTTCACTGAACAAACAGCCTCGGGCAGGGCCTTCCTCCAGAAGAATGGCATTGTCTGGGAGCCAGGCACCCTTGTGAACCCGCCAGGCAGGGCTTTCCCAGGGGCTGGTGTCCCCAAAGAAACACGCTGCCCAGAAGAGCAGCAGGGGACCTGATACCAAACTCTTGTGCTCGGCATAATTCCCCATAGTGCTGCTGCTTGAAGTTACTTTAAAAGCATACTTCAGCCCTTCAGTGATCGTAGCATCTGCCTTTGGGGACAACAGGAGGAATAAATTGAAATATCAGTTTTCTAAGTAGTTTTGAAGTATTTCAGATGCACTTCACRAAGCATATGAAGTGGTGGAGGTTGGAAGGAGTTTCCCAAGATCATCTAGTCCAGCTCCCCTGCTCAAGCAGGGTCACTTAGAGCACATTGCCTAGGATCATATCAGGTGAGCTTTGAATATCTCCGGAGAAGGAGACTTCMCAACCTCTCCGAGCAACGTGCTGTAGCGCCCTGTTACCCTCACAGGCAAGAAGTTTTCCCTCGTATTCAGATACAATCCCTTTGTTTCAGTTTGTGGCTATTGCCTCTTTTCCTCTTGATTGCCACCACTGAAAATAGCCTAGCCCTGTCCCACTCAACCTGGTCCTTGAGATATTTGCGTACACTGATAAGAACCCCTCTCATTCTTCTGTTCTCTAGGCTRAGATTGAAGGTAGACCGGTCATCTTTCTCTTTACAATACATGGATTAGGCAAAGTCTGTTCTCTATTAGATTTGTYCACATTCTTTTAGTGCATAAGCATTATCTCTGTGAATTAAAAGGGGTACAACTCGGAGGTATGGAAGTGTGGAACACGGTGTTTGCCTCACTGTTTCAGTGCTATCTGGAACAGGGAAATTCCCATTACTAAGGCTGTGCTCTGCATCAAGACTCGACTTCCTCTGTATCTTTCATCTCCCTGCTCCAAGTCTGTGGCCTGACATTATACATCACAGTATTGAGACCAGGAGGGACTACCTTGATCTGTGATCTTTCAAGGAATTCTTGCTTAAAAAAAAAAAAAAAAAAAAAAAAAAAAGGATTTTCACGAACTATGATAGAAGATAAAAAACAAGCTGTTTTGACTGTGTGTGACAGTCTTGTACATTAAAAGAAAATAAGCCTCTTTGGTTTCATCTTGACATTGATGTTCTATAAATAAGAACATTGCTTTTTATTCTGCTTACWTTCTCCTCCAGTGCCAGGTAAAAGAGCAAAAGTCTCTTACTGTTTTTGGAGATGAAACTGTCAAGCATGCTCCCTTTCATTAGCCCTTTCTGTTAGAAATAACTTACTAATTTGTATCTTTGGGACTTAAAAGCCTTTGTCTGTAAAAGATCATGTACAGAGGTGATATTCTAACACTATAGTGGATTTTTCCAKATAACTGCCCATGGCGAAACGTGCCCTGCATATGAGATTGCAATGCGGCTAGTAATCATTAGAATATCTATCCTCTGAAAGCTGAAAGCAGCATGTTCGTTAACACTTTCAGTCCTGCACTAGGAGATATCCAAGAATGACAGTATGCAAAGGTGACTGATGTTTTCTGGGAGACTCTCAGTTATGGACTCACTTTTCAAAGCTGCCCGGAACCCATGTCTTGCTGCTTTCAGTACATACTGCCGTACTCACTGGTTGTGCCTTGCAGTTACAGCTGTAGCTACTAGCTAGTGATTTAGAAATGAAATGACATATTCTGTTATCAAGGTTTAAGACAGCTCAGAGAAACTAAAATCTTGCTGGGATCAGTCTTGTTGGGGTCATATGCTGTAGTACTGTGAGCCTACCTTACCCCTCTGCCAGGTATCACTACACACATCTTTGTGGAAGGAGAGGAGAACATGGTTCTGAACTACTGTAGACTAACAGTGAAAAATCCCTTCATCAGGTACCTCTAATATCTCCCTGTTGAGATGAAGCACCCAACTGTCACCAGGCAGCAAAGGCCCCAAAGGCTCTTGAATGCTTTGTGTTCTCTTGGGTACTGCTAAACTCGTAGGCGTCACAACAGCAAGGACCAGATTGCAGGTGACCCCTCTGAGACTGGAGAAAATGCAGTCTAGAGCGCACTCTAAATGCAGTTTAGAGTGTTTGGAATCAAGGAAGCTTTGTACCTGTGTGACTCAGCCTGCTTATATAGGCACCCACATTTGAACATGTTGGCTAAAATAACTGGCTTTGCACAGCAGAATAGTGGAAACCTAGGGTTAGAGGGATTCAAGAAATCTCTGCACACTGTCAACATTCATTTAAAAATTGCTCCACATGGGGCCTAAACTCGTGCAATTGAGCACTTGACCGCATCCTGTAAAACAGGGCAGTGCCTGTGTCCTGGGAGCTGTACCAAGTCCTCTCCAAGTGCTTTTAATTTACTAATATGACTATTGAGATGTTCATGCTGTGTCCTTGCTCCTTGGCTCTCACTAGAGGCAGCATGATAGGATGTTAAAAAATGTCAGTGTGTTTCTGTGAAGTACTTGCTATGGATTGGTGGATGATGCTTTGTACAGCCCAGAGAAAAGTCTTTTTCAGATGACAAATATAACATTGGAATATTTCCAAAGCTAGTAATTATTTTTCATATTAAAGGAACTTCATTTGCCTTCAGGGATGTAGGCCCCTGGGACCTCTTGCTAAAGTTGACAGTGTTCTCAAGACTCTAAAAACAGCGACTCCATGACACAGACCTGAGAAAACAGCTTGGGGTAGAAAGTGGAGAAGGATGTTCTTTCCAGAAGAGAATACAGGATGGCAGTCCCGCTATGGTCTCATGAGTGACTGCTGCTGTGTGCTGAAGGCTCCCAACACATCTCTGTTGAATTAGTTAACAAAAGATTTCTTCCTATTAATGAGAGACATCCCAGAGAATAAGACATCAGTCCTACCCTGTGGGAAGGGCAATGCTCTTTTTCTTGTAGCACTTGTACTGTTCTGTCACAGAGCAGCCTCTGTTCTCATTCAGCATGTAGCACAGGTTGTAAGGTGAGATGGACAGTCATTGTGTACAATGTCTTCTGCTGTTTCCAGGTACTTCTGGTCAATATTAGTAAGATGATTGTGTGGACTTCACACAATCCACATGTTTGTACTGCCCTGGAGTTTCCATATTTGAGGGAAACAGTGTGCCCTAATCACTGGTCTGGATAAATCTACAAGCTCACTGTCTAGATCAAGTCATGAGGTTTTGATTTGCATGCTGGAAAATGATGAGTTCCCCCTCCCTGTCATGGCCATAATATGTGTTTGCATTGAGGTGCTCTGAACTGCAAAATGCTGMTGATGAGGAGCTCCATAGCTGATAGACTGCTTTTACTCCTTGCAGAAAAAAAAACTGCAGAATATGTGGCTTGCTTCCACATCTTGCAGGTGGAGCCTGCCGTTCATCACTGAAGTTGTCTTCATACAGAGCAGAAAGTCTGTGTGCTGGAACTTCAGAGTCCTTGTGAGACTTTCTGACTTTCTCCATGTGACCTGTTGGAGAATGAGTTTAGGTATCAAACCAAACTGCAGCATCAGGCTAAGAGCAGTGCATTTCAGTCCTGATACAGAGGGAGAAATCCCTTAGGATATCACAACAATGGTGATTTCTGGGAAGGGTCTCATCCAAAACCTGGCTAGACTCGAGCCTGTCCAGCTTGCAAGGTTAGACCATCCATTGGCTCGAGATGGGATGACCTACTAGGCAACTAATCAGGGTCAGGGATGGTTATCAGTTCATGAAGATGGTTAGAAATTGAGTAAGAAATGTCTGCTATACTTTTCAACAGAAAGATTTCCAGACTGCAGTTCAACAAGGTGAAGCTGGAAGATGCTGGGGAGTACAGCTGCGAAGCAGAGAACGTTTTAGGGAAAGACACCGCAAAAGGCAGCCTGAATGTGAAAAGTGGTAAGTTAGAAACTAGCAAATGTCTCAAGCTGTCTGCCATTCAAGCAGAAAACAGAAGGCTCTGCACATAYTCCGTCTTGAATTTTGTTTCATACTTTCAGTATATCAAGTAAAATAATCTTGGGAGATAAGAAAAATGCAACTTAGCAAAAATGTTTGTCTTTGTTATCTGTCACTGGCAATGTGGTTGATTTACATTTTAGATAATCTTGCAAACTATGTGTTTTTTAAAGGGGGGAAGGAGGATAGAAAGCTGGTGGGCTTGATGTTTTCTTTTTTAAAAAGAATTTCTGAGAAGCAAAATTTACCAAAGGCCAAAAAAATAAACCATAGCTTTGTGATGAGTGAAGTTGCTTCTGGTTTTCATCCTAGAGTGTGTGCTCCATCTCTTAGAGCTCAGTGGATGGAGCCTGAGGTTAGGTGGTTTTATTATCTTAGGCATTACAATTGCATTGCTTAACATGATGGCTTGGGTGTATCCTTCAGCTCTGAAAGTCCCTGAAGTGATTACCAGCAGCTTGGAGGGTACAACTGAGGGAGGAATGACTTTGTATAAATCTCATTTTCTAAGTTTTTTCTCCTGCCATTCACAACAAGCCACTGAGGGAGCTCGAGGTCTGTGTTACCAGCCCTTTGATGCCACCCAGTTTCTATGTTGTTGTGTTCTTTTTAACATTATTCACATGTGAAGGGAGGTAGCTTTGTCCCACTATCTTATTTCTCTATTAACCTCTGCCTCAGCAGTGTGTGCAGTCCCAAATCTTTATTTTGTAAAGCTGGATTGTCACATAGCCTCCTGTTCAGTTAGTTGTCCTGTAGAAGACAAGTGCCACCCTGTTTGCAAAGGGCTGTAGAGGTAAAAGGCAATCCGTGTTGAACCTTCTGTCMATGAGGTTATGACCTTCTGTCAATGAGGCCATGCTGCTCCTTTTTACTGTCTTGTGCTCTGGTCTATCCAATACCGGTGCACACTATCCTCGTTTCAATGGACAGCTGCTTGTGCAAAATCCCCCATGGAGCGTTCATGAGCAGCACATGCCCGCAAACAGAACTCTGCCTGTGCCCTGGTGTCCTTCCCTATCATTAGTGACACTTTTTCACTAGAGGAGGCATATCTGGTTGAACAGTGCTCTGAACTTGCATTCCACTTTTAGTACCAGGAAAATGCAAGTCTGGTCACTGCAACTTCACACTACACCTTCCTGCGTGTGTAAATGACAGTGGCATTTGGCAGTGCACAAGTCTTCCACCACATGGAGGTCTGATAGCAAGGACAGGAGCAGGGGCTTGCTCTCACTCAGGTCTTGCAGAGTGCAAGGAAGCYTTTGGGCTGCCCACCAATGTGTTGAGATTAGAAAATCAATGAAGAGACCCAAACATCTGGCCTGCACTTTGCCTAAAACGAACTGCAGGCTGCAGCTCCAACAGGCAGAAGACTGCATGGTTTGTCCCACTGACTTTTTCTCGATTAATCATTCTCTAAGCTGCCTTGTAGATCTGCCTTTTGCTTGTGGCTCCCAGCTGCATGCACACCTTTGCTGCTGTCTGCGGAACACCTAATAACACAGCAAGAATTTGCAACTGAATATTGTTTGTAGTGCCATGCAAAGGGAAGATGATGGTGGTTGCTGTTTCTGCCGCACTGTCTCCTCTTTTGCACTCCTCTGTTGCTTTCTTTTGGAGCTTCCCAGAGCCAAGAATCTTTCATGTCTCCGTATATTTCTTCCTCTGGAGTCTTCCCATTGCCTTCTAAGTTGTCGTTGCTGCTAGGCCTTCTTGTGAGCCAGATAGTTTTCCTCACTTCACTTCTGCAAGCTCCCTTCTTCTATATTTCCAATAGAAAATTCCTATCTAATTCTTTTTGCGCCCACAAGTATGCATCCTTCTATCTCTGCGTGCATTTATTTTCCTCTTGGCTCCATAGCATTGATCCTATTGGAAACAAGACCCCCACATATTGCTCTGTAAAGAACCAGAAGTCCGTAACAGTGAAGAGGAGTTGCAGCAAGAGCTGGCCTGCCTTTGAAGGCTTCCCATCTTTCCCTGAGCAGCTCCTGCTGCTTCTTACTGCCCAGTCCCTGAACATGGTGTGTCTGCTTCTACTGGGCAGACTACCTGAGACTAATGCTTTGGGGCCTTCTGCTGTAAATGCACGTTGTGACCTGACACTTAGCAGTACTATTGGAAACRCCATAATTTTGCTCTGATACTTATAGATGGTTGAATCCAGGCCTGGGAAAAGGTTCTGAGCTAATACGACATCTTGTGATTTGGAGGCTCAAAGTTTGGGGAAATCTCTGGATGCCTCTGTAAGGTCATGGCGTTGCAAGAAGTGGGCCAAGCTGCCTAAGCTCTTGAAGCTTGAGTTGAGCATTGTGGAAGTGAGGAGCCTGTATAGCCTAAAACACTGCTCCCCTTCAGGGGTGCAAAGGCCAGAGATGGAGACTTCTGAGTCCACTTGAGTTCCGGCCAGCAGAGGAGTTCACACATAAGATGCTCAGGCACATGGAGATGACTATCTGAGGTTAAGTCTGCTGGTAATTTCTCCGCCTTGTGAGGCAGAGTTACCTTTGCAAAGTGCTTTTTGCCCTATCCTACTATTAGTTTTTGGTTTATATCTATTTCAAAGGGCTAAAACTACTGTTTTAGTCCTGCAAATCTGTTGCAAATTGATAAGAGCACTACAGTGAAAAGAGATTTTCTTTAAGAAGGAGTGGTCATAACGCAGCAACTGTTCATCACTCAGAAAAATGCCCATCTTCCAAACCCAYCAGCTCAGCTCTTTTCTTTAATTCTGGTATTTTCACAAAATACTGAACACAGAAATAAAAGTTTTCCTTTTGAAAAGCTTTGGGAGGGTGTCACTTTTATGAGCAAATGCTTCTGGTTTTAGCCAAAGCATGTTGTACTTTGATGCTATTTTCAGACTTTTGTTATTTTTAGGCAAATCAAATGCATTCTTAAGAAAAAAAAAAATCCTAGTCCTCTGCATTGAATAGTCTAATATTGTCATTGCAAGTGGGAATGTGGAAGCATTTGAAATGTGATTGCTTTAGCCTCTTTTTTCCTTTCTAGACACTCCTTTAGTTGAATCCCAGCTCTTTGTGCCCTTTTCCTTGTCTTTGCTAAGCACCTCAAGAAAAATCAATCTTTTGTGTGAGTTTTTTTTTTTTTAATTCTTTCTGTTGTCTTATAATTTACTATTTCTTGGTGCTGTTTTCCTCGTCTATGAAAGGGTAAATTATGCTACTGCATGGGTTGCTGGTGCTCTCTCTTTTGACATTTTTTTGCCTTTTGATAGTCAGGAGAGGCTTTGATCCAAACAGTTTGCATAGAGCTAGTGAATGGTGGATTTTCCTAGTAATGTGGCTTATAAGGAAGAAAGAACTATTAGTCCAGGCTCCTGTATTGCCTTGAGTCTTGGGCCGTGACCTTCATCTAGTTTACATTCCTCCATATCTTACAAAAGCATTACTTTATGTTGAAAGACTGCAGACATTTGAAGGGGGTGGAGGTTCATCACATGATCCTATCTTTCTTAACTCACCTTCATGAGTTATCCCCATTATAGTCCATGATCTCATCCTTGCATACTCATGGCCATGAAGGCTAAGAAACCTTCCCACCATTTCACTCCCCATCTTGCCTGGGAGCAGAGAGGCATTTATTTGCCTCTTTTACCTGATTACTCAAAAGTATACTCTAACCAGTACTAACACGTCCACGGCTTCTCCAACCTGTGCTACTGAGCAGCACCTGCTCTCATCCTCCTCCCTGCAGTAGCTAAGCCCACCTTTCTCTGGTCAAACTAGATATTTTGTTCACTACTTTCTTACCTTAATTTCCCCAGGAACAACGAAAGCACCACAAGTCTTACCAGCTTCAGAAACTAAAATAGTTGTTATGGAAGAAGAGTGTAAGTACCTCTCCTCTCCCTCTCCCTTCCAATAGTTTCTTTCCCTTTATTTGTTTTATTCTTACAAGACATTTTGTGCAAGTGTTTTATTGTCTCTGGAATCTTCTTTAATTTCTGCTTCTCTTTGATTTCTCCCAAAGCCACTGATCTTTCACTAAATCCTTCAAAAGCACAATTTATGTTAGATTTTAAGCTAGCTTTTAAGCCTTAACAGATCTTTTAAAACCTGGGTTTGAGACTGGTAAGATATACATGTTAATTTTTGGCGTCAGCTGTTTTTCCTTTGAGTATAGATAGGAAAACAAAGGAGGAAAAACAAAGAAAGATACATGAGTCTTCTGACTGTAAGTCATAAGAAAAAAATGCAGAAAATATGGCTGAGCCCCGCCATCACTTTTCTCTTTAGCTTACAGAAGTCAGGATCAGATTTCCTGAAATGTTTAATTTGCTTGCATTTTGTGGAAGTGCTTTAGCGTTGCTTTCTATTGAGTTGTCATGTGCACAATAGAAAATACACAAATCTGAAAGTCAAAGCAGAGAGTGATGTGTATGAATGCAAATCTAGAAGTCATGTGCTTGCCGATGCGTTCAACTCTTTCTGGTACAGGCATTATTTCTGCAATGGAGAGTCTCTCCACTCTGAGCGCCCTCTCCCAACGCAGACACAGTCAGCACGCTGGACAGCCCGTCAGGATCCCATCCAAATGAGCGTACACCCAGAGAGTCTTGGACAAGGCAGTTATTTTAAGATCTGTGCTGTATTTTCATTCCAGTTGCTCCTGCCCAGAATTGACAACATAGTTGGCTGTGCCTGTGTGTTGACAATTCTGCCTTGCAGATTTAATGCAGATGTTTTCTGCTGGGAAGACTGGATCTTTTCTGATTTTAAAGGAAATCTTTAATTTCAGCCACAGCAAGGCATTGGCCAGATATCCTTTAGCAGCTTTCCTGATTATAAAGCTACACTTAAAAGTTTACTCACGATCTGCTTAGCCATCCACTATACTGCTGATAGTATATTGAGGTGTAGCTGTGTTAATGCAATGACCACACCATTCTGTGTTCACTAGCATAGATTCATGCT